ATCCTTATATATATATATATATATATATATATATATATATATATCACTCAGCAAAAGCAATACATTTCCCTCTTCATGCCATTTTCCATATTTATATCACATTCCCAAACATCTATATCTTTGGACTACTTGAAGTCAAATTAACTGTATCCACCATCAATGCATAGTATGTGAAAAAAAAAAATAAATAAATAAAGGATACGCAGGTATATTACTCTAAGAACACAGATAATACATTGTGGTGGTATATAAAATTTTTATCCTTTTATCCCAACAAATCAATAATTATTTCAAAGCCCAATTTATCCCTGCTACCACAAGGTACTGTAAGTTAGGATCATAATTCAATGGTAGAAATTGCGAAGGTTTCATAGTTCAATCTTGTCTTGGCGTAAACCAGATTTGTTCATAATTACATACATAATGTTTTGTATAACAATGTTACTAACTGAAGTTTCAAAGGCTATTTAGCATATGCAGACATATCTAAGAGAGATAGTGTTTAATTATGTCAATGCTTTATTTACTGCCTATCCCTGCGAGTACCCAAATCAGAAGCAACTTGAGCTGCTCTGTTTAAAGCACCTGACACCCACAATGCTCCTTTTGAAAAATAGCTGCTATTTACCAAAGTATTTGCAGCCGCTGCTACTGATCTTCCTGCTGTGGATGCGGCCGCCATGGTTGTTTCGGAGACATTGTATCTTTGATCCACAGATTTAACAGCTCCAATACCTGCAGATATCTTATCTGCGAGGCCAATTCTCTGGCTCAGTTCAGAAACCTTTGCTGTTGCAGTGGCAGAAACTTGATGAGAGTCATCAAAGTCCTTCGCCTTAGCTAGTGCATCCTTACTGAGAACATATCCCTTTGCTAGCATGGTCTTAACAACTTCTTGAGCCATGGTAACTGCTTCTCCAGCAGAGGAAACAAATTGACTGCTTTGTGGTGTCTGAAAGAGAATATGAAAAAACATAGAATGTCATGAGCAGAAAGCCATAACCATAGCAATTTAGCACGAGAGAGATGCAGATACATACAGTTGAAGCAGACTCATCCTCGTGACTATAGGAGGGCCGGTTCCAAAAATCAAATTCATCTTGATATTGTCCCCAGCGTGTTATGCATACACGTTGATCTAAAATAGTGGCTCCCTAACAGAACAGATTAGGAAAGAAGGCACAAATTAATTATTTGACATTACTCATAAAGCTGATGTCACTCGATGAATAGCATGTAGTTCAATACATTCAATTGGTCAGCTGTGAAGTTATTCAGCTGTTATTTTAGGAGACCTGATTGCAGATTCAGTACATGTATATAAACCGTTTGACAACACCTGATTAGACGAGAATGTTCATTTTCACAAGTTTATGATCATTTTACAAAGAACATGCAATGGAATTTATCAACGAGGCAAATTAATGACAAGTAGAGTACAGGATCATTCCAGTTTCAACATTACAAGTATTCTGGACACGAGTTTGATAAATAACTCACACTGAGCAAGCATGCAGTTTCTTGAGCATAAGCCTCTTTGAACGTCACATATGCAGTACAAGCATAATCACCAGACCTGTACTCAGCAATAACCAAGTATCATATCAAATTCTAAATACTATACCAAAAATCAATAATATCTCAAACAATTATATGGTGAAATTCAAAACTGTAATGCTTTCAGTTTGACTGCTCAACAAAAATTAAGGGTAGTTAAAATCAGTGGTAATTTTAAGTTTTGCCAACTGTATTCTCTTTTTTTAGTTACTGCACAATAATTGTTCCAGTCGACATGGAGGGTACTATTGTTAAAGCATTCAATGAGTGATTCTATGATTCTACCTTCAGTACCTTGTGTGTATGACATTGTTCTCCATTTATACTAATGCTATCTTACCATTTTATCCTTTACTCCCGTGATCTGTTATCTAAGGGATAGATTTTATCTAGTTCTTCATCATTTCTACTCTGAGATTTTGAGTAGTATCTATCTTTTAAACTTTTCAAGATTTTTGGTGTATGAGATATATGATTATTTATCATTAGAAACTGAAATGATAGAGGCAATTTAACGTCTTACATCTTTTATGAATAACCAATAAATAACTCGGTGACCGACCAACCACCAACTCAGTCGGTCTTCAATAGGTCAGTCATTGACCTATGAGAATACAATAACATTGGAATAACTTACAAGAACATTTCTAACAAAAAAACGCAATGTACTTGTCCTCCACTGCTGATATATGGAACAACTTACAAGAACATTTCTAGCAACAAAATGGACCTCGCACCTTTTAGCTCAAGAAAGATCTTGTTAATTGTACAGAAGGGTCACTCACTATGCCAACAACTATGCCAAAAATCAATAATATCCCAAACAGATACATGGTAAAATCCAAAACTGTAGTACTTTCAGTTCAACTACTCAACAGACACTGCAAACCATAAATGATCAATCCTCTTCCACCAGCAGGAAAATAAAAACAATCCCTTCTGGAAAGCTTAATAGAGTTAACGAATTCACAAGCACCAAGTCAATATTTACTTGTATCAATCTCAAAAATGTCTCATTAAATTTGTTTCCAGGCCAAAAATTAAACACCATGTTATGGTAAGCCAAACAATCAAGAAAGAAATTACAGAAATAAAATTAGATTCAAATAAACAAGTAACATACATAGTTTCTCCTAACTCGAATTTACAGTTATGACGAGATCAGCAACTAAACTAAAAAAAAAAGTGCACAAACTTGAGCTAATCTGTGAAACTTCATACAATCAAAATGACCAAACAATTAACAATTATGAAGTATCCCATTTAAATATATGATTCAATTAGTTTTTTTTATTAAAAAAAATTAAACATTTAAATTAAAAGCTTATACCTGATAATTTCAACATTCTGAATGACACCAGAGAAAGCAAAGAAGTCACGGACATCCTTGTCCGTGGCTTTTGGCGAGAGACCCGTAACCTCTACAGCGTACCCACCAGAATTCATCTTTCTCAGTTGTATTCTGAAACAATTAATTGTCAAGGAGATTAGAATCAGATGCACACACGCACCAGTGTTTCTGAAACACAGTTTCCAGAACCCGTTGAAACTAAAATCTTCCTCGGATTTAATCATAGTATAATGTATTCATTCATATGATGGGCCTGGGCCTGTGTCTGGGCCTCTCCCAAAGTCCACCTCACATCACATATCCATTTAAATTAATACAACAACAGTAATAATAATATCACCTACATATTAGAGTTATTGTCCATTTATAACATTTTTTTCTCTTTCTTTTTTTTATTTATCTCCATTTTAAATGAATTGTTGTTAAAACTTTAGCAGAAATAGCATTATATTGAAGTTATATAAATAGATCTTACAAAGAGGTGCAAATTTGGATACGGGCCTCTAAGCTCTAAGCTTAGGCCCAATATATATTGATCCTATTCTGAATCCTCCTTTCTCCACCTTAGTGAGGTTTCGGTCAGGGAGAACTTATTCGAACGGAAACCATAGAATCTAATCAAAGGCATGTGTCTTCAACTAGAACGTAAGTGACGTAGGGCCCACCTTGAGATTTTTTTTCCTGGGCAAACCAAAAAGTGCGTCCTTATAATACTAAATGTGTGATATGTTGATATAAGAATGTGAGTTATCCTTATAGATTACTGTGTAATTAAAAAAATCAATAATAGTAATACGTTACAAAAAAAACTTGTGACAGTTAAGAAGTGGGCGTTTGTAAACTGATTTTGAAATTTTAGTTGAGTAAGAGAGGTCACGATTTAGAAAATAGAGAGAATTTGTTAGGTTATAACCACTATCTATAAAAGAAAGAGAAGAAAACTATTGAATAACATCATTTACATTCATGATTAGAATGTGATACACTTATGTTGTGTTTGGATAAGTCATTTCTAAAATTCAAGGAATTTCAATTACTAAGTATTTGAATTACTCTCAATTGGATTCCTTTCCTTTTTCAAATATTTTGTTTGGATAGAGCATTTTTCAATATCTTGTATTTCAATTATCTTGTTTGGATAGAGTATTTCAATTTCTACTTAGCAAAATTTCATTTTTAAATATTTATTAAAAAAATTAAAGTTTTAATAATAAATTTTATTAAAATATATTTAATAATTAAAATTAATTTTAATATTAGAAAATTTTAATTAATTCAAAAATAGTACTAGACGTTATATTTGATCAATTTTTTCTTTATAAATTTAAAAAATATTTTAAATTCACAATATATTTAAAAGCTTCAAAATACCATTAACATCCGTAAAACAATTAATGCACGTTAATTCTTGATATGAAATGATTCCATTTTAAACTAAGAAAAAAATAATAAGAATCTTAAACTTTGAGTATAGGTGGTTCAAAACCACAATATCCCATACGAATTTAAACTAAACAGCACCATACAAATAATGCCTCCATATTTTCAAGGCAAACACCACAGCTGCCAACTCCAAATCATGAGTGGGATAATTCCTCTCATGGTTCTTCAATTGCCTTGAAGCATACGTCACTACTTTCCTGTTTTGCATCAGCACACACCCTAGACCCTGGTGAGAGGCATCACAGTACACATCAAAGGGCTCACCAGAATCCGGCAACACCAGCACATGAGAAGTAGTCAACTTCCTCTTCAGCTCATCAAAACTCCGCTCACGGGCATCTATCCAAATGAACGGTTGCTCCTTCCTCGTAAGCTGGGTTAGAGACGCTACTATCTTGGAGAATCCCTCAATGAACCTCCTATAGTAATCCGCCAAACCCACAAAGCTTTGAATATCAGGGACAGTTCTTGGACACTCCCACTGTAACACCGACTCCATCTTAGCCGGATCAACAGCAATCCGCCCAGCTGAGATCACGTGGCCCAAGAACTTCACCTCATCCACCCAAAACTCACATTTCGAAAGCTTAGCGTACAGCTGCTTCGCCTTCTGATCACAAGAGTCTGAAGTACTTGTTTGATCAGAAGGAGCTGAACATGAGGTAGAGGCGGTGGATGGAGTTTCTAAAGGATTATGACTTCTAGCTGATGTATTATCCTGGCAAGGCTAATGTTATGGCAGATGCGCTAAGTAGGAAATCCATCCACATGTCGAGTATAATGGTGAGGGAGCTGGAGCTGGTTGAGGAGTTCAGAGATCTGAATCTCTGTGTGGAGTTAGCTCAGGATCACATTAGTTGTGGGATGATTACCATAACTAATGAGTTCTTGAGGCAGGTTGGACTTAAGTAGTTGCAAGATGTTAAGCTGGTGAAGCTTCTTGGTTTGCTGGGTACCGAGAAGGCTGTTGGTTTTGAGCTGGGAGAAGATGGATTCTTGAGGTTCAAGGGCAGAATTTGCCTACCTCAGGATGCTGAACTGAAAAGAGCTGTATTGGAGGAAGGCCACAAGAGCAGACTTAGCATACATCCTGGTATGACTAAGATGTACCAAGACCTCAAGAAAACTTTCTGGTGGTCTGGTATGAAGAGGGAGATAGCTGAATATGTGACGGCCTGTCTGACCTGTCAGAAGGCAAAGGTTGAGCATCATAAGCCGAGTGGGTTGATGCAACAGATGGAGATTCCGGAATGGAAGTGGGATAGTATCACTATGGACTTTATTATCGGGTTGCCTAGGTCGGCTAGGAATAGTGATGCTATCTGGGTGATTGTTGATCGATTGACCAAGTGTGCACATTTCTTGCCTGTCAACATCAAGTTGTCCTTGGAGAAGCTGACGTAGTTGTATGTGAGGGAAATAGTACGGTTGCACGGGGTGCCTTCCAATATTATTTCCGACAGAGATCTGAGGTTCACTTCCAGATTTTGGCAGAGTCTACATCAAGCCCTAGGCACGAAGCTGAAGCTGAGTTCTACTTATCATCCGCAGACGGATGGTCAGTCAGAGAGGACAATCCAGTCCTTGGAGGATCAGCTGAGGGCTTGTGTGTTAGACCACTTGGATAGTTGGGAGGAGGTCCTACCGCTGGTGGAGTTTACTTATAATAACAGCTTTCATGCTAGCATTGGGATGGCGCCGTTTGAAGCCTTGTATGGCAGGAGATGTAGGACTCCTCTATGCTGGTATCAGGATGGTGAGTCTGTGGTTGTGGGGCCGGAGCTGATCCTACAGACTACTGAGAAGGTGAAGATGATTCAGGAGAGGATGAAGACTGCTCAGAGTAGGCAGAAATCTTATGCTGACAAAAGGCGTAAGCCTTTGGAGTTTGTTGAAGGGAAGCATGTGTTTCTAAAGGTGACTCCGACATCTGGTGTGGGTAGAGCGCTGAGGGCAAGGAAGTTGACACCGAGGTTTGTTGGTCCCTATCAGATAATACAACGTGTGGGTCCGGTTGCTTATCGGTTGGCCTTGCCACCGTCTCTTTCAAACCTACACGATGTATTTCATGTATCCCAGCTGAGGAAGTATGTCCATGACCCTGGTCATGTGGTTGAGCTAGATGATGTGCGGGTGAAGGAGAACCTGACGTTTGAGAAGTTGCCGGTAGCTGTGGTGGATCATAAGCTGAAGGAGCTGAGGGGCAAGTCCATTGCTCTGGTGAAGGTGTTGTGGGATGCAGCTACTGGTGAGGCTACTTGGGAGGTGGAGCAGCAGTGCAGGGAGCGGTACCCGTTTATTTTCCCAAGTAAGTCTATTTTCGGGGACAAAAACTCTTGTTGTTGGGGAGGTTGTGAAACCCTTCCCTCTCTCTTTACTCCCCTCACTTTCATTCACTCTCTTCTTCACTCTCTTTGACTCCATTCTTTCCTTTTCCTTAATATTTCCTTGTGGTGATCTCTTGGGTTGAAGGTGCTGAGTAGGTGTTTCGGAGCTAGCTGAAGTGGTCTCTCATCTCCGCTCATTTCAAGCTCTCTTCTTCTTCTTCTTCTTCTTTGTCTCTTCCCAGAGCTCGGAGCCGTTTAACCGAGGTAAGGGAAGTTAGTTTTCTTGATGGCTGGATGAAAATGAGTTTTGCAACTCATGGATAGTTGGATGTTGAATGATTTTGGCTGAGATTGATAGCTGTTTTGGTGAAAATAAGTTTTCGGGGTTTTCAGGGTATTGGAGAAAAAATTTGGGTTTTTCTTGTGTGATGATTGCATGTGTGAAAAGATTATATTTTTGAACTCTTGGATGAAAATGTGAACTTTTGGCTGGATTGCATGTGCTGGATGAGTAGATTTTTGCAGATTTTGGGCAAATTTTTGAACTTGGTGGGTTGCTGCCGAGCTTCGCGCTGAGCGTTGTTCTACGCGTCGGGCACGAAACCACCTGGAGGCTCCTTTTAGGCAAGCCCGCCGGGCGCAAAGATGTGTGCGCGGGGCGAGCTTGAGAAGGTGAGCCTCTGGATGGCCCATGCCGAGCGTGACATGGATCGCGCCGAGCGCGCTGGTAGTATGTGACATGTTTTGGGGTTCTGGTTCCACGCTGAGCGCGACCCTCTTCGCGCTGGGCGCGGGGACTCCTTGGGAGTCTCTGCCATGGGGGCGCTGGGCACAATTTAAATTGTGCTGAGCGCGAGACCTTGGGAGGTCTCTGCCTTCCCCGTGCTGGGCGTAGGTTAGGGCACGCCGGGCGCGCGAGACTCCTTAGAGACTCTACTTGGGCTTGCGCTGGGCGCAATTTTGTATTGCGTCAGGTGCGTAAGAGCCTTGGGCTCTCTGGCTGGGTCACGCCGGGCGCGGGCACTCTTGCGCCAGACGCATTGACCACTAGTACTCTCTGGTTGCGCCACGCCGGGCGCGACTATGAGTGCGCTGGGCGCGTATGATGATGTTGACTTATATGCTGATAACTGTTGATTTATGCTGAAATTGTTGATAGATGTTGTTTTATGCTGAATTAAGCTGTAATTGATGAATATGTTGTGCTAACTAGATGATAATGCTGAAAAATGATGTTAAGCTGTAATAGATGTATATTATCGTGCTGAGCTGAGCTATTATTGATGATTCTAATGCTGAATTATAATATTGTTGTACTATAGAATGTTGAGTTGAGTTGTGAGTAGTAAGCTGTGTTGAATACTAATTGGCCGTGCTGTGTGCTGATATTGTTGTACTGTGCTGAGCTGTATGTTGTTATAGCCGCTAAGTCAGTGCTGT